TTGATCTGGCTAAGATATCACTTAAAGAAATCCATGCCTTTTGCATAATGCCTGGACTATCACAGCTACAACACCTCAAACACTACCATATCCACTCCAGTGTCCGCATATGAGCATTAAAGCAACAATAAAGCACCTATTTTTCATAGGGGAAACCTCTGAATTTTTGCATTTGAGAAGGCTTTGGAGCACAACAGAACAAGGAGCAATGATCTCAAGTTGCAGCAAGGGAAGTTTAGATTAGACATTAGGAAAAACTTTCTAACTAGGAGGGTAGTGAGAACAAACTACGCAGAGAAGTTGCAGAGTCTCCATTTGTGTAGGTTTCCAAGACCCAGCTAGACAAAGCCTTGGCTGGGATGATCTAGTCGGGGCTGGTCCTGCTTTGAGCAGGGCATTGGACTGGATGTGATCTCCTGAGGTCCCTTCCAGCCCTCGTTGTCTATGGTTCTGCATATGTCGTGACAATACACACTACCTAAGGGTTTCATCTGTCACCCATCACAAAAACGTTAGCACTCTGAAAAAACAAACGACTGCGTAGCCACTTGCGTTCTGGCTCCTACTTTTAATGTTACTGACACTTTCTGTTTCAATGGAAGGCATTTGACTAATCTTTTAAATTAGATTGACAAAATCTTCATGGACTGGCAAACGCTACAATGTTCACAAAAGCAGCATTCCCTGAGACAACAAAGGGAGTCGAATAAAAGACTTGTCTGTATCTGAGTAAAGGTCAAGATATGCAGGTGGAAAGACAAAAAAAAATGTGATATTTCAATAGCTCTTAATCACCCACATTCTTCAATCCATATTTTGGAAATAATAATTTAATCATATTCTTTCTTTTAGTGGAAAGGAACCTTTTAAGCAGCTTGAGTCTCATTTAGGAAAGACAATGACAATTCTATGATTATAAATCCTCAGGCTTTTTGTATGCATGATACGAAGAGATTTCATTTCCCTCAGCCTTTAAAGATCTAACAGCTTTAGTTAAAATGCAAATAAAGTGCAGTGAATGAATTAAGATACATATTATTCTTAAACTTCAAATACAATACTGTGCTGAGCCAAATGAGCTACGTTAGTACTTACAGGAAAGCGCAGGTCTTGGAGACATACACCTGCATGGATTTCCAGTTAGTTGGTCACTCTTTCCAACACAGCATTGGTGCCCTGCAGTGCTAGTGCCTACTTATACCTCTCTGCTAAATTCAAGTGTTCTGCAATATAACCCACAAGGAAATTCCCAACCTTTTACTGTATGGCACTTTTTGTCTTTGCAGGCCAATGGAATGAAAGATTGGTGCGAAAGAGGAAACATAGAAGATTAATGTATGCTGACAAGCACTGAAAACAGCACATACTTGACCCAGCCATTAATACCTCCTGGGGAGAAGGAGAACAATGACTGCTTCATGTACAAATGCCAATCGAGCAAGCAACATGTTAGGTTAAGATGGGGGAAAACTAAGGTCTATTGGGAAGGCAGCTACCAGCAAACAAAGCTGTCGACTAGCCAAAATATGTGGAAGTTAAATGTAAAACTGGTTGTGTAACACTTGGACTGGAAAAAGTGTAGTGGCTGTGCAGACTTTCCCCAGCCCACCCTGTCAGTTCATTTTCTTCCCAACCTGGGATGACCATCACAAAGAATGAGAGGGAAGCTAAGTCTGAAGCCCACTTTTGGCCTCTGCTGAAACGTCCAGTGCAGGTACCTTTCTATACTGTTTCATCACCCAAACTAGGTTGTTTTCAGCAACTCATTTCATATCAGTCATTGCAAGGCCTGGCAGACGGTTATCTGCAGCTCACCTATCATTATTCAAGCAATACTATCTTGGTCACAGGCATTAGGTCAGATTATTCCTTCCACTATTAGTGATTTTATGCTGTTCAACCAGCTCAGAAGGAGCCAGGACACTAGCACAGCTAGCCAGCAGAAAATTCCCAATTGGAGTTTATTTCTTCCTGAATCATTTCTACAAATACATGTATTTGCAGGCATAATGTTAAGTGACATTTGTTGCATCCACAGAAACTGGTCCCTTACACTTGGGGCTGTGGCTTCCCTCCATGGGTCAAACAACTTGTCTTCAACTCCCTTCCCTTCACTTCCTCAAGGTAAAGTAACTTTCCATCTGCACAGAATGAGGGTTTGATCTTTGATCTGTGTATTATTGAATTTGCTGGAATAAGACTAAGGGCTGAGCCTTCATCTTTCCCTGTTTTTAAAGAAGAGCATGTTCTTGCTTGCTTTGCTAGTGCTACTTTCCAACTGATCCCTGGTTTGTCAGTGATCGCTTGTTGCTAATTCTGGGAGTACTGGAGACCAGTGGAGCGCTTCGAGGTTTGCTCTTCTCCTTAGCCGGACAGCTGCCATTTTCTTGAATAAGTGGGAATTCCTGAAATGTTCTTAAGTCACTGTCTGAACTCATTAACATCAGACGAGCGCTAATGAGGCATGTCTTTTTTCCCCGCTTCAGAAGTGTTAGAGGGCAAGCAGCTTTTGCTAATCTCAGAGGAACCCAGCTGATGTGATGCCCTTCTCCAAAGTGCTCTTCATTACCAGTCCCATGCTGGGTAGCATCAAGGCCAAGTTCATGGCATGCGGAAGAGGCGTGGGCACCCCTGCTCACCTATTCAGTGACCCAACTTTACACCAACCAGGTATGAACTAGTCCAAGTGACCTTGTGCTTCCCTCTATGCCAGATGTTAATTTTACCCCTGATGACTATATGTTATTTTAAGTTTGGCTTAGTAATTTAAAAATCCCTTTCAGCCAGCTTTAATTAAGGGCACTAAAAAGAGGGGAAGACAGAACCGCTGCTCTAAAGGAAGTTACTTTGGTAAATGTCTTGATTTTTTGAAAAACCTTTTAACTGCCCTCGGTCAGCAGTGTCTCTAGCTGGCCCTGCAGGACTCCTGGCAGAACAGATGCTTGCTCAGTTGGGTGTGGAAGTTGCACAACTTTTTCTGGCATCTACATTGTACCCGATTCAGGAGAAAGCCCCTTAAGCAACAGAATGTTATTAGGGGAACTTCAGAGATGAGCTAAGCCTCAGGAAACCAGCTACTAACAGACCATGTTGACATGAATGAACTTCTGGAAAACTACTGAAGTACTGAGTGTTGACAGGAGACTATTTCTCTTAATGAAATAGAAGCAGGTTCCTGATGTCACGAGTCCCTGTTAGGGAATGTAAGCACACGATGGTTTCCAACTCGCACCAGAAGGACATTAATCTAACTGGTAGCTAGCTCAATTCCCTGGTCATGAAGCTGGTTGGGTAAAGACTAACATGATATATATTGGGTGAGGTTCGCAGTCAGTGTAAAATCAGCAGAGCTGCAATTCAGTCCCCTTGAGCTATCCTGACTTAGTCCAGATTCGGATCTGGCCCGCTGAGTCAAAGCCATGGAGATCAGTGAAATCTTCGGGAATGCTTTGATGGTATGGCTGGAAAACTCATTTGGATGGTGCCACAGCATCTGCTGGTTATTTTCCACTTCAATCACTTAAATGACAGACAAGTTGATACTCATGGGAGTTTTTAAAAATTATTTTTACAGATCTTACCTTTAAGTTTTTAACAACAGATTTGTCTAATTTACAGATACAAACATTTCCATTTGTTAAGAAGAAAGAGAGGTATGCCTCATTTTAGCACAATAACGAGTAGAAAATACACTTACAGATGTGATAACTTGGCACTGATCATCATATATATGTTTTAGAAGTGTTCCAGCAACCTTACAACAGTACAGTATTCTAATTAGGAAAGGGCTGATTATTTCACCCATTACCAGGTAAAGTGAACAAGTTATAAAACTCACTTTTTTGGGATAGCCACTAAATATTCATGAAAGATTTTTTTTAAAGAGAAAAACACAAGTATGGCTTGACATCGGTGCCAGATGCCAAAATCATGACAGTACTAGCGAGGCATTTCTGATACCTGGCGAAAGTTGACTGCTATGCAGTACTTTCAGACTCTGCCCTACAGGACAGACAGGTATTCAACCCAAGTAAACAAACATTAGTTTCATTATTTCTTTTTTTCCATCCAACAACAACATCTAGTGTTTTAAGATGACATCCAAGGATTGACTATTGGTGCAAGACTGGTTTTAATAACAAAGTAGACATTTTCTATTTTGTAAACCGTTCAAGTCAAAAAATGAGTAATTCTATTATTGCAGGGTTTAAATGTGGTTTTGCAAGGCCAAACACTTTCATCTTGCCCTTTTTTAAACGATCCAGTGACATTTGTTTCTGTCTGATGAAGTTTTCATTCCATTGTTATTTGCCACATTAACACTAGATTTCTTCTCAGCTGACTTTTTACAAAACTTGAGCCCTTGCTTTCCCACCTTCCATTACAGTTTAGAGAATTACAGCACAAACCTAGCTCAAAAACTCAGGTCATTGCTTTTTTTTATGTTGGCTACAGAAAGAGAGGCTGGTGTTCAAGCTTAAAAAATCACAAATAACTGTGTTTAATTTTGTCACAAGGACAAGGTCTATAATTTCATCCCAGGAACTTCCCAGTGGTGAAGCTGTGACTCCTGGGGGTAGTATATTAACACAAGGGATAAAGGATCCTGAAGGCTTATTTATTTGTCACAATTTAGTAAAGAAACTTATCTACTACCCTCTGGAGAACAGTACTCTTTAACTGTTTGGAAGTGACAAACAACATTCATACCATTTCCCTAAATTTTTCTTCCTCTTTTTGTAAACACCACATCTTTATATAATCCAACTATTCAGCATTGGACAGGATATATAAGGAGTGACACAGTCAAGACAAATAACTGTTACTGGTCAAGAACCTGTACGTCAGTACAGTACTGCAGCTTATCCATGTTAGAAAAAAGATGGATCAAGTATTTTCTAAGTTTTACAAAACCATTTTTCAAAGGAGGTAGGATGCAGGCGTTTTTGCATTAGTGTTAAGTGTAGCAAAGAAACAATCAACCATATTTCTGGGGGAAGCTAGCTAGCACTGTCAACACGTTTAGGCCCAAATTTGGATTTGCCAGAGAAAAGTATTCTCTGGACTCCAAATATCGATATCTGTGAATCTAACATTTTATCCCCAGGAAAATTAAATAATCACAAATTGCCTTACTCACACCCTTATGCAATTTTTGCTCTCCCTCGACTGCCTACAAGGTGCTAATACCGGTTGCTGGAATTACATACAATTTTACTGCTCTTCTACCTTATAAAAGAAGAAGTCATAGAAAAGTTTCCACGTCGTAGTGATGCAGCCATAAACACAAGGTAAAATAATATTTTAAAAAATCAGCAGTGAATTAAGACAAAAATTAGACACAATTTTTTTTTCTAAATTTTTCAAGGGGAGGAGGAATCAAATAGTAGAGAGCTTGACAGTATCCCTTTGAGTGTATATTAAGTAGGCTAATGGACAGCTACCAGAGGTAAACCTTCGGTGATCCTCAGTTAGGGGAATCCACCACAACTCCGTTTATGAAAACGAAGCTATGGCAATTTATGTCAGCTCATGGGCTAGGTGGGAGTTGTTTGTTCCTTCGATAGAGCCTTGATTAGTGTTCAGCAATCAGATACATTGATTCTCACGGGCACAAGAAACCAAAACAAATCTGTTTTCGCTATTAAATGAAATGAAAATTGATTGTATGATCAACTCTCCCCGAGAAAAGTGTGCCTGGACATCACTCCACTTGAACATGCTTGCAGAAGTAAAGTTCTTTAGTTAGCATGGAGACCAAACAGGGTATCTGCTTCTTCTCGCTGAAGCACGGGTTGTCAGACTGCGACTCAAAACTTGTGGCTACCATGTGGTTAACCCTGGTGAGGATCTGCATGATCTCAAGCTGTTTTCCGTGCTCATTTAATATTTCGCACAAAGACTGAACGAACCAGGAGCCTCTCCCTGGGTTCCTCCAGGAATAATAACCTACAAAGGAAAGACAGGTAAAGAGCGTATGGATCATCTTTTATTTCCTTACGGACATGTCTGAGTGAACAGAAGTGGCAGAGAGAAAGGTACTTGCACTTGCTAGTAAGGTTATGCAGCAATTGTGCACAGAAAGAAGCTACTTAGTCCTTAGCACTCACGCTGCATACTTTACATCCTCAGGGCAGAGCGTACAATCAGTTCCTTAATCCCCGCAGTATACTAGTCTTATTTTAGCAAAGGGAAAACGGGCACATATGGGCAAGAGTTTGCTGCACATCTAAATATATACCCTATTTATCTGCATACCACACGCACATCTTTTTCTCAAAAATGAGCCTTCCAAAATTGGGATGTGTGCTTGAGCAGGGAAGCAGCATCAATGGCATTTCTATTTAAGCAGTGGTGATGGAGTCAATTGACTTCCTGGTTCATTATAAACTATTTGATTCCTGCTAATTGCTTTTCATGCCACAGGCGTTAAAAGGGGAAAGCCTTGGCAACTCCTTACCTGGAACTGTGGAATAGGCATACAAGAAATCTGCTTCGACTGGAATCTTGTATCTAGGATTAGCATCTGTTTCCAGAGCATCATTTGCTGGGCCAGAGTCTGTTTGTATCCCTTCATCAAATTCAGAACCTCGGCATGCCTGAGACAGCGGTAAAGAAAAAATAAGAGCCTGTCTAAAATGAGAAATGGATCTTGTTTTAACAAAGTATCAGTTAATCAACACAATTTTAAACAGGACCTTGCACTTAGGAAAGATAAGGAAAACGTGTTAGCTGCTCTAATTTAGCCTTATGGTGGAGCTGAAGGTTCCCCATAACTAGCCGACATGTATTTAAACGTGACTTATCTTGTCTGCACTCAAGTACTGCACTAATATTTCTGCAGATGGCTGAGATGACAAGACTGTGTTAGCAAAGGCACTGAACTACAACCAGTTTTACTAGTTTAGGCATGTTCTGGGGAACTGAATATCAAGTTTTTTGGGGGATGGTATCAGGAATGCATGTATCCCTGTGCTGTTTTCCAATTTACCCTCAGCTGAGGGGTAAGAAATAATGTTGCTTTAGAAACTAGATTAAAAGAGACAGCCATAGATCCAGCAAGTACCCATCTAGCAGTAACAACTTTCCATCAGAACTATTAATAAAGAGATGAAACATCTGTAACATCATCCTAACACAGAGGTGGGCAAAATGTGGCCCGGGGGCCAGATGTGGCCTGACAGGTCATTCTCTCTGGCCTGCAGGGCCCCTAAAAAAATAATATTAATCTGCCCTGGGCTGCCTGTCATGTGGCCCTCAATGGCTTGCTGAAACTCAGTAAGCGGCTCTCCACCCAAAATAACTGCCCTCCCCTGTTCTAACACGTCCCTTTACAGAGTTGCACAGGTAAGTTAAACATAAGGGATAAAGTAGGGGAATAGAGCTTGATATAAAAAAGAGGTGATTTGAGTTGCATCATCTTGCAATATTACCCTTCAGATGAGGGTAAACTGGAAAACAGCACAGGGAAACTTGCATTCCTGATACCATCCCAAAATATACATGTCCCCTGGACTGTCAATTTGATACTGTTTATCAGCATAGCAGTCATTAAGTTGAAGCAAAATGGCATTAACTCTATAATGCAAAGATACATTATAATCTTGCAGGCCACCCTTAGAGAGAAAATGTAGCATTGTGAATATTTCTCTTGAAAGAACTGCAATAATCTGTAGAAAAGTCTATGTACGAAGAGCTCTGGACAGCTGTCTTCAGCCAGCACAATCAGCTGTCTCCGTACTACCAGGACGAGTATCTGCTCTGAAGAGTTTACATAGCCATCTAGGAAGAGAAGCAACATACAAAGGTTGGGAGGCAAGAGTTACTTGAAAATATACCCACGGATATATATCTTTTTCAACTTCATAGGATATTATCTTTAAAAAAGAAACAAAGCTAAACATCATCCATAGCCACGTATTCCTCATCTCTTATTTGTTGAATTATCCAAAGAGATTTGACATGTTAACATACAGAGCTATCATGCATTACAAAACTAAAGGTAAGATTTCCCTCCCCACAGCAGTATTTACTTTAAGGCCATTACCTGAATGAAAAATAATTTGGGTTTGCCAACGAGACTTTTACACTTGTCTCCTCTGAAGAGCATGGTCAGATTCTTGATTGCCATAGGTTTATCGATGCCGTAGATGAGGCCCTCTTCCCCATGACTTAGAAAGATGCAGGCAAAGCAAGCAGCATCACTGTGATTCTCCTCAGCAGCTGCAAATCAATTTTTTTTTCTCAGGCAAAAAAAACTATCTTGAACTCCCTTAACAATGAAGCTACAAACATCTTTCTTCATCTCACTGTACAATGGACCCCCCCCATCTAGTCCTGATCGGGGATATTTTCAATGCAACAGGATCATCGACAAAGGACGTGACACACCTCTGGATGATTTGGAGAGTGTCTTCAGAGCAGGAGCTGGGCTGCGCCAGACCCCGATTCAAGATCCAGGCAAGCTGGATAAATGGGAATGGGCCGCTCTCAGTCAAATATGACAAGAGCACAATGAAAGGGGGAACACACTGTTCAAATACCAAGTCTTTATTGCATGATAAATTACAACAGGAAGGACCATTACCTTGTCTGAGTAATTTTTCCATCTCATCACAGGTTCGATCGTTGTATACTGAAACGTCAAACCCTAAACGTCTGAAAGATTTCTGCAGCTCTACAGCGTCTTTATCGGTACCATTTCGTGTACCCATTCCTGGCAGAAAGCAAAGAATATAGCTGCTCACACAGCAACGAAGATAAACTCAGACAGTTACCCGTGAACATCTGGGTTAATTTACTGATCTGCCCAAGAAAGGACCTGCCTAGTAAAGGATATCGGACCACAGGATCACAGGGCAGTAGGGTTGGAAGAGACTTCATGAGGTCATCCAGTCCAGACCTCTGCTCAAGGCAGGATCATCTCTGACTAGACCATGCCTAACCCACTCTCAAAAACTTCCAAGGATGGCGATTCCACAACTTCTCAAAAATTGAAAAAGCCTGTTCCAATGCTTGACCACCTCCATAGTCAGAAAGTTCCTCTTAATCCACAACCTAAATTTTCCCTGCTGAAGCTTGAGGCCATTGTATCTAGTCCCACCTCTTACAGCCACAGAGAAAAGCCCATCTCCATCCTCTCTGTAACTGTCCTTCAAATATTTGAAGACTGTTATCATATCCCCCCTCATTTGTCTCATCCCCAGACTAAACATAACCCTAGTTCTTTCAAGCCTTACTCCTAAGTTGTGTTTCTGAGGCCTTTAATCACTGCTGATGCTCTCCGCTGGGCTCTTTTCAAACTGTCCCCATCCTTCTTGAAGTGTGGAGCCCAAAACTAGACACACTGCTCCAGGTGAGGCCTCATCAGTGCTGAATAAAACAGAAGACTCACTTTCCCTGATTTGGAAGTGACAGACCTATTTATACAACCCAGTACACTATTGGCTTTTGTTGCTACAAGAGTAGATTTCTGGCTCATATTCAGCTTATGGTCTACTGTAACCCCCCCAGGTCCTTCTCTGCAGTACTGCAGCCTAGCCAGTCATTTCTCAGTCTGTGTTTGTGCAGGCAATTATTCCATCCCAGGTGAAGGACCTTGCTGTCATCCTTGTTGAGTCTCACCTGATTGATTGCAGACCATTTCTCCAGTCTATCCAGGTCATTCTGGATCCTCGCCCTACCCTCCAGAGTGTTTCCAACTCCACTCAACATGGTGTCATCTGCAAATTTGCTAAGTATGCACTCAATCCCATCATCCAAATCATTAATGACGATATTAAACAATACCCAGGGCAGACCCCAGAGGAACTCCATTTGATACTTCTTCCAAACTAGACATTGAGTCACAGATGACTATTAAGTATAATGATCCAACCATTTGTGCATCTACCTCAGGGTACTTTTATCTAGTCTGTATTTCTATATAAAACCAACTTGTAAAATACTCACTAATAACCTCTCTATCTTCAGAGCAAACTATATGATTTTCATTCTCAAATGAATTAATGCAAGATCCAATGGTAAAAGGAGCCAGGTCCTACAAAGTGCTGCATGTTTCTCAACCCCTGTCTACATCAGATGCAGGTAAGCAGCACCCCTTGGTGTAGCATACTATGACAAAAACCCTGGCAGCGTTGACAGTCTTTTAAAATACTAATAATATTTTTTTCAAATACTAAAAAAACCTGGACCACAATGCCAACATCAATGTTTGTGCTATATTCTCAGCCTCCCTTTCCTTAGAGGTCAGAAATCCCAAACCTCTATGACTAAGAACTTGATTTCAGTTATCTGGGGGAAACAAGTCCATTGCCAGTATGTTCACACAGTGCTAAGCAAAGAGGTGAGGATTTTAAATTCTCCCACTGTACAGTAATCTGCTATCCTGTGTATATGAATTCTCACAATGTGCTTTTTTTTTCTATGACGACTCCATCTCTGGACAATAAAAGTGTAAATGCAGAACTCCAGACTGTATTGGGGAAAAACTATACACCTCTGGATGATTTGGAGAGTGTCTAAGAGCAGGAGCTGTCTTTACATTTTTACCCTCTGTTAGGAATGTGAACAGACGACGAATGACAGCTGAGAAATGTTATCACTGTGCTAGAGCTCACGAATAAAGTTCAGTTTTTACCAAGACACATAAAAGTCTTGGGCAGAGGTGGATTATGAAGTGGGTTAAGCAAGAAGGCAAGCTCTTTCAAATGTGAACTGTATCTCCTGCACAGCTGCTGCTTCCCCTATTGCTGTAGCTGCAGCACTAGCTGGAGTCTCTGGGCTCCCCCTCCGTCCCCTGGCTTCCACTCCTTATCTCGCCCCAGGTGGTGAAGAAGTGCACTGGGGCATTGCCAGGTACTTGGGGGTAAGCCTGGGGCTACATGAAATGCATGGGTGCGGAGAGCACACACAGTGTGCATGGGCCTGGGCCTGCATGGTGCAGGGCATGGGAAGGGCATGGGCCTGCATGGTGCAGCAGTGAGTGGGGGTGTCCCTGCAGCATGTGGCCCATGGCTTGCCTTGGGGCATCCCCTGGCCATGCAGCCCATGGGGGTGTTTGGCCCCCAGCCACCTACAAGCTGGACAGCCCTGGTCTAACACAAGGTAACTGCTGGGAGTGGCTGTAACACAGACGCTAAATAAAAGGGATAAACAGCGAGTTGGAAGGGAAACAGTTATAACTGTCCCGTTTCTCTTTTTGGGGTTTTTTGTTGTTCTCCTGCCCTGGCGGGGGGTCGGGCTAGAAGATCTACTAGGTCCCTTCCGACCCTTAATCTATGAATCTATGAATAACACATTCCTAAACAGTTAAAAACCATATACAGCATTTAAAATTATTCATCAAAGGTTCATGTCGAAAGACAGTTTTGGATCAATTCAAGTTTAAAAAAAAAAACTCTATAAGGAATGTCAGTGCAAAGTGTGTGAAAAAAAATGTAAAAAGTTACCTGTTTTATCCTCAAAATTTTTGTTGTTTATAATAATACATTTGCCAACTTTCTTGTAATCCATGTTATACTGGAAGGTTGGTGCAACGAGTCGGTACTGGCTGCTGGGAGAGGTCTTTGACTGCTGCTCTGTTCCATTCTTTTTTCTATGAGAGCAAAACCAGAAGGCATCCTCAACGGCATGTCATGCACTCTGCATCCACTTACTTTACTCCACAAGAATAAATCTGGCTTTCTCAGTACCTATTTTTTTTACCCATACCACCCTCTCTATTCTAGCAAGAGCCATACGGACCATCTCGTCTTTCTTTATACAAAATATGGACTCTCCAATATCCTCTAGGGTAGCCAGAATTAAATCCAGTCCTGCAGCCTACGGATCATTCACTGTTCAGCTTTCATTGGTCTCAATCCAAGGAAGAACAGGGCTTCCCCTTGGAGGTATCCTCAAAATCAGCTAGAGCAGTTTGAATTGACCCCGTTACTGATAAGTTGGGACTGCCTGACATATGTGAACTCTGTCGGCCAATAAATAATTAGGAGTTTATTTATGGAATTGAACACACTGTCCCTTTTTGGTGTAAACGTCTGTGTTTAACTCTGGGTTGTGCGAACATCTGGGAACAGCATCGTTTCTGGGCTTCTCTGGTAGTATTACAAAGTTGAGAGAGATCAGTTCTTCTTTAATATAATTATGTACTTCAGTGAGAGTCAGCGCCTGTACAAGCGGTACTGTGCAGTAGCTAATGAGCAATTAATTTACTACCTCTATTTACTGGTAATAGAAACCACACATTGGCCTCATTTACTGCACGGTAGCTGCTGCTCACGGTTACATGGTGATGCCTTACTGCCCAGTAGACTGTTGTGCATCTTGTGTAGATGTGCCCATTGGTACTTTAATTTCTACAGCCAAGCCTTTCTAGAAAATTATTTATTTCACTATTACCCAGCAGCAACAAGAGCCTCAAGGTAATTAACTGCTGTTTAAAAATACATTCCTTCCCTTTCCCCTCCATCTACAAATTGCCTCCCAAATGCCCTCATGTTCTAGTATTAAGGGGCAGAGGAAATAGGAGACCAGCACTAACTCTTCTGCAAAAATTGTCATTTTTATTTTAAAAAGCAGCTTCCTTTTAACTTCAAGCACCCCTTTAACTTCAAGCATCCCTTGTTAAGGGGTAAAGGAACTAAGTGTAGTGAGCTCTTCTTTCTTTTCCGTTCATTAATACTATTCTATCTCCTCACGCTTTTTTTCAGACTAGTCAGGTTTTTTAACAATCTCTTGTCAGGGATCTTATCGAGAGCATCAACATTTTGAAGGTGGCAAACCATATGGATGCTTGGTTCTCTCTTTCTTTCACATTATCTGCTGAGGATCCAGGCAACAATCATACTACTCAAGACATGAATTGAGTTTCACTGCAACGGGGACTAAGTAAATAGTTATCAACACCTAGTGTGACAATTTGGGCTTACTAAGTTTTGACTCTGAAGATTTCTGATCTTTATTATAATCTAAAAATCTCTTCTTTTTCCAACTGGGTTCTGTAGGAGTAGAGAATAAAAGAAAGAAAAAGTCATTTTGAGCTAACTGCAGTAAACAGCATTTTTCTGTTATGTCTACTTTTTTTCCCTCCTACAAAAGAAACAAAACTACACTCACCTTGTACATTGGGTCAACCTACGCAACTTATATGGAGGCCCCTTTAATCTTGACTTTTCTGCTTGAAGTGTTTTTGTGCATGTAATAAAAATATAGGACAATATTTTTGCAGTCATTTTTTTTGTTTGTCTGTTGTTTAAGTATTTTAATGTATTTAATCATTTGGATCCTTTCCTCCGGCATTTGATTCTCTTGTGGGATTTTGTAAGGGGAACCAGTTCAAGATCCTTCTAGTAATTAACTGATAGTTAGGGAAAAAAGCTGCTTTTCCTAAAATTGAACCTGCAAATGGGGGGGGTCTATTAACATCAGAACAAATATGGTATTTCCAAATTAGTATTCAGAGTACTGCACAGTACATTACTTCCTCAACCTGCAGTGAATTCAGGTGTGTACGATTCTTGGTTTTGGCAGATACATATTTTAACTGGCTTCCTGGATAAACTGGCATTGCTGTAATAATAATGGTTGTTATGCACAATATAGAAAGTGGCATTAACACAGGTGGTTTCAGTTCATTTACATGAAGTATCATCCATCTCATGGATGACCAAATTTATTCAGAAAATTACTGTCATCCCAACAGCCTGTAAAAACAGGTACTGTTTACAAACTCATACCTTTTGTCATATGAAATAGGTGAACCTTGTTGGCCACACCAGAGCCTCAAAGGCATTTATTCCATTTCCCATTGTACTCAACCTGCTTTTGTTTTGGTGCAACGCATATGTCAGACCTCTCAGAGAAAAGCACTTGCAAGTCTTGTTGAAATGTAGGTACTAGGCAACCACTTAACGTATCTCGGGATTAGACCCACTTTGAAGTTACTGGCAGACAACAAAGTCATTCTGGGAGCCTGCTGGTACCTCTCTAAGCCAAGTCATTAAGGAAGTAAACTTCTGGTGCATGAACATCCGGGATGAACAGCCCAGATTGCAAGTGAAAAGCTGTTTGATATCAACTGCTAGATAGCTCGGTCTCCTATGCCAAAGTGCAGAAATGCTGGAACTGCCATGCTGGACTAGGTAGATCGGGGCTGTCCAGCTTCTCAGCAGCTGGAGGCTGCAGAGCCAGGGCACACCCATCACGTGGCAGGCGCCTCCCCCGATACGCCCCACTGCCCAGCGTTGCTCCCACTGCTCACACAGAATAGGGAGGCTGGCTCCCCGATCTCTCTCAGCCATGCATGCCACCTTACAACACAGCCAGCCTGACCCCCCCTTTCTGTGCACCCAGTACCTGCCCCCAGCCACATGCACCGCCCACCTTCACTAGGGCAGGCTCCTTTCTTTGCCACATGCTCAGCTTGGGCACTTCATCTCCTTCCCAGGCCCCATGGCAGGAGCAACTGGCAGCAAAGCAGGAGAGCGAAGGCTGGGCAGGAGTCCATGGGTTGCTTGCAAACCTTTTGGGGGCTGCGTACAACCCAGAGGCCACCAATTGGGCAGCCCTGAGATAGATAATCTTTCTAGTCTAGGACCCTGGTCCACATACTACTTTATAAGATGTCTACAATAGACATTTGTGCAACAGTCTACCCAGAAGGGAAGGAAATTCCTTTTTAAAACTAGTTGTGGGTTGGATTATAAATGGAAGCATGAAGCAATGCATTCCTTAAATAGTTTTATCCTGTTTATCTCCAGATTGTCCTCATTAGCCATATAAACATCTAGGGTGCATTACTACCACCCGTACTTCCTCCTTGACCTCCAGGAACTTTTTTTTTTTTTTTTTTTTTTGTGTGCAGGCCTCTGTACAGAAAGAAACAATTTAGGCATCTAAGTGCAATAAGACGTTTGGGGCTCCAAATCCCAGTTTCACACAGGCACATAATTTAGGGTTTCATCTGGGCATCTGACCAGGAGAACAAGAGGTGGGATTTTACACAAATCCTCTCTCCACTATTTCATATGAGCTGCCTTGGGGCCCTCACTGCTGAGGCTCCTGGCTGTTACGAATCCCTTTCTTTAGTTCCTAACTGTTCCCATTCACTGTAAATGGAGCGGAGGTGCCTAATTTGTGTTTGTAAATACCCAGAGGCTTTGGCACCGACAAGTTAGGTGTGGAAATGCTTAGTGTCACTAAGCCCAGGTCCCTTTTGGATCGGAGTCTAAAAGTATTATAGCATATCTCCATGGAAAATACTGAAGTTTAAACATATTTTTCCAACACGGAGATGACATTTAACAAGAACAGACATTTCATGCCTGCACCAAGGATTTGTGCAGCTCCCAGCAATGGTGAACAGTGGGTTTTGGCTTTGCTCCTGAAAACAACCTGCCGTATCAAAAATGCCCCAGCACAAAAGGCAGAAACCCATTTGAGTAATACGAGTAATAAGAGCTTGTGAGAATTAGAAAGGAGAGAATGTGATTCCTAGGAAACTTTTTACCAACTCCTTTACTAGCCCTGAATATTACTGGGGATTAGCAAATGCCTGACACCAGAGTTACTTGTGGTCTTTTAAAAATATGACTTACAAAAATGGGCTTCATGATGATTAAAATGCAACAGGAAACAGCAGCCCTGCCTGGAAGAGAACAGTCAGTCAATTAATGGTCAAATATGTCTAGAGGGGTAAAGAGAGAAAAATGTAAAAGGATCTCACCTTTCCACTTCCCACACCTGTAGGAAGGGGGATTTTTAAAGAGGAAATTGGATGCATTTAATCAATGTGAATTCTGAAGTGACCCTGTGCAGTTGAACTGCACCTGGACTTTGAAAGTACGGAGGATGCCTAGGAAATCCCTGTTCCACTGGCAAAAAAGTTTGGGGATTTTGGGGATTAAATGATAAATGTGGGCAGTAATAAATAGCCCACTGACCCGAAGCCCAGGCAATTAAAGAAGCGAGTTAAATGGAGTTTGAAGTGTTGCCCCATGGGGCTCCTGAGTTCCTTTGCCAGCCTGGGTGGTTTTGCAAACACATTTTAAAGTGTTCTCACTTCCCTCCTTGCTCAAAGACTCGCAGGAATACATGAGAATGTCTATGCAGAGAAGGGAAAAAAAGGAGAAAATCGATTATACACAATGTGCTGTAATTTCACAAAGTAAACTCAGAAAGAGCTCTCTCATCCCTTCTAACTACAGTCATTTTAGCCATTTAATATTAGTAGGTACAGATACTTCTGACAAGTGTGATTTCTTTCTACCTGGCACGTTCCTTTAACATGCTGTGTGAGGACAGGTAATTCATTTGTATGGCTGATAAGAGGATTCCACTGAAAAGGGAATTCGCCATCCTGTATTTGTTGATTGTAAAATACTCCATATTACTGACACGGAGCACCCCATGCCCCTGGGTATCAAAGACGAGCTTTAATATGACCCACTCCATCTTTGGTCTTTCTACTGAAAGCCAGCAAGGGGCTAATAGTAGTGATAGGATGACACTCAGCTAACAGTTCATTTCATATGATCCTTCAAAGATCCATCAGATGAAAGTAACTTTCACACATTAATGGTGTGGGGTGTAACTGGT